CATGCCTGCTGGGCTGCCCCCGCCCCTTCCCTTAGCTCCCATGTCCTTCACATTGGCTCTGGTCCTCACCCCACCCCTCCTCTGCCTCTCAGGAAACTGGCCGACTGTGCCCAGCTGCTGGAGGTGGATGACATGGTGCGGCTGGCAGTGCCTGACTCCAAGTGCGTCTATACCTACATCCAGGAGCTGTATCGCTGCCTAGTGCAGAAGGGACTGGTGAAGACCAAGAAGAAATGAGGAGCTGACCGACCCTGTGGGCAGGGCGCCCAGCTGACCAGCCACGGCCCAAGGCTCCCTTCTGCTCCAGAGACCAGAGAGCCGGGTTGGGCAAAGGCAGGTGGTACCAGTCTTAACTGCATTAAAGGTACTTTTGTAAAATCCTGTCTGGCCCTCAGTGCTCCCTCCCTATCCCAGCCAGGAATCTGCCTCTCCCTGGGATAATAAACCCTGGCTGCCAGGGTTCCTCTGCTGACATTTCCTCACCTGACACAATCTTTTCTTTTCTTTTCTTTTTTTAAAAGATTTTTAAATTGACTTTTGGAGAGAGAGAGGGAGGGAGGAGAAACAGCGATATGAGAGTGAAATATCGATTGGCTGCCTCCTGCACGCCCATTCGGGGGGATCGAGCCTGCAACCAGACATGTACTGACTGGGAATCAAACCAGCAATCTTTTGGTGCATAGGACGATGCCCAACCGAGCCACACCGGCCAGAGCTGCCACAATCTTTTCTACCAGCATGAACGGCATTTGGGAAAGGACAATGGCCTGGGTCCCACTATCCAACTGTGTGACCTTGGGCCAATGCGCTAATGTCTCTGAACCTATTCACCATCTGATTGTGGACAAAAGAAGTTCAAACCTCATGGAGGCGTTGTGAGGGTTAAAGGAAATAATTAAAAGAGCAAAAGCCTTGCCTGGTGCCTGTCACATATACGTTCAGTAAGTGGTGGCCAAGAGTGAAAACAAATCCTACACTTCCGGCCATGGGTGGCACTTCTCCTGTCTCTTCCCTCTCTCCACACTTCTCCCGATTAGAGAATTCCAGGGCAGGGCTGGAATAGAAGATGCTCTAGAAATCTCACCCCAAGTAGGCTAGTGGGGCCTACAGTGAGGCCCTTGACTCAAAGATACCCCACATTTCTGTCTCTTAAAAGCAGATGGTTTTCCTGTAACTCAGAAGGTTCTCCTTCCGGTTCAGTTCATCCCTCCGACTCTGCCTGAAGTTGTGGCTTGTTTTTGTTTTTCCATCGCTCATTAGAGAGGAGCCGCTGAGCTGATGACAATGTCCTGCTAACAGTCCTGTCTGGCTCTATCAGCCACTGGGGAATGCTGTGCTGGTAACAGCCCACGAAAAACACAGAGACAAAAGCCAGCCAGCTTGGCACCGAGGCAGGAGGTGACCTGGCAATCCACTCTGTGCCCTGTGCCGCTGCTGCCTCATCTATGAAATGAGGACATTCCCTGTGAAGGTGTTGGTGGCCCTCTGGCCAGGATGGCCTAGTCCCTCGTGGCCCCACCATATTTGGAGTTCCTCCCGGCTTGAGCCCATCAGTTCATGGGAAGTAGGGTCCCACCTTTCATTAGACAGCAGCTAACTCCCCAGCCTCCTCTTCTCCTGATGAAACCGCCCCATCCCCTCAGCGAACACTGAGCCAGACTCCACACGTCATCTGAGACTTTAATGGCTGGAAAAACACATGGTTTCCGTGGCTCCCCCTTGACTGGAAGCTGAAGGGGCCGCTCCTCCCAGCTTGAAGCCTGGCCCCAACCTAATGGGATTGCAAGTGGTTTGGAAACAGTGTAGTCAGATTTCTGGGACGGAGATCGGATTCTTCACTTAGTGTTTCATCAGTGGAAAAGAAACGGTTTAGCACTTAAATCTGCACAGCCTGGCTGATAATATAATCAACAAATCACCCAATTGCAAGGGACTCCCTTCGATGTGCCCCGCCTCCCGCCTCCACTCCCCCAGATGCCTGGGTCCCTGAGGTTTTCTGGTGGCCTGCCGGGCTCATTTCCTGCCAGCTGGCCTGGAAGGTGATCTTTAAGATGGAGCCACTAGTAGCAGCTGGCCTGTGACTCTGCAAACCTAAACTGCCTGGCTCTGGGGCACAGAAAGGAAGTAGGAAAGCACACCTGTGGCCAGGTGAACCTGGAACTGGGGCTAGGTTCCACACACACAACTAACGGCTAACAACCTAAGAAAGGAAAAAACACAGAAAAACTGAGCAGGACATGAGCCACCAAGGGGCTCTGGCCCCAGTCCATGTTGTGTGTCTGCCATCACACGAACAGGACCCAGTGCAGAGGGCCAGGACCGGAGCTAGGAGGGCCGGGGCTCTCCAAACTGGAGGGTGAATTCTTCGGCAATCCTGTGGAACTTCTCCGAGTCCAGTGTTAGCAGGTCAGCAAGCTCCAGGCGCACGGGCTCCCCCAGGTCCGGATTATTCACCAGCACGCTGAGGGCCTCCAAGACTGGGGAGAGAGGTCAGAGCAGGACATCGAGGACGGAGAGAAAAATCCTGGGAAGGGTCCGATGGCTGCCCACTCCCAGATCCCCCTGAAACTCCATGCCCACTCCCTGGAGAAGCCCCAAGAAGGTCCCACCTCTCAGGATGACACCCTAACCAAACTGAATGCCCCTCCCGTTCCCAGCTGACGATGCCGAAAGCTCTGACTGGTTCTATCAGTGGTTCCCAAACTGTGTTCCGTGATGAGATACGTGGGGTGACTGGGTTCCACTCCCTTTTCAACAAGAACCACTTCGTTTTCCTCTGTTTGATATTAAGGTTCCAAATAAACTTTGATTTGGGAAAAGGGGTTCTGAGGCTAAAGACTGAGAACCACGACTGCCCGGTGGTTGATCCTGCACAGATGCCTTTGGGAACCCGGTGAAGGCAGGGGCCCGTCTCCCCAGGCCCGTGCACATGCGCACAAACATGGAGCTCTGAGATAAGAGTGCTTCACGGGTCCCTGAAGGTCATCCGAGGAGCACTCCCTACCCGCCCCCACCCCAGGACCCTCCTTGCTGGGGTTAAGAACTGAGATAGTCCAGAGGCATGAGAGATCACACATTGACTAGAGCCAGCGGCCACATGTGCTTATCTCGTTTTAAATGAATAAGAATGAACTACGACTAGGAACTCAGTTCCTCAGCCGCACTGGCCACATTGCAAGCGCTCAATAGCCACACTGTGGCTAGTGACTGCGGAACTGGACAGTGCACACAACGTTCCCATCACTGCAGAAAGACCTGCTGATGGCGCCGAGCTCGTCAGCCAAGCCCGGCTGTGCATCCCAGCGCTGCCGCTGGCCAGCTGAATAGACTCAGTGCCAGACCCGAGGCAAGTGCTCCACCTCTCGGTGCCTCAGTGTGCTCATCTACTAAATGGGGCTAAGGACAGCACTCTCTGGGGGAGCTGCTCAGGGGATTCGATGACATTATATGTGAAGCTCTCTGCATAGTGCCAAAAGTGCTTAATGAAGCGATTGGATTGTCATTACTGGGCCAACCCCCTCAACTGTCCTTTAGGGCACTGAGCCCTGGAAAGGAGTGGAGGCTTCACCAAGGTGCACAGATAGAGAGCAGCAGGTATCCCACGTGTAAGAACAGAGGCAGGAGCAGGTATCTCAGGACACATCCCTTCTATCCAACAACAGACTCCACGGAGACCCACAATTTTTATCTCTTCTCTTTGGGCTTCTCTAACTCAAAATCAGCCCCATAACCCCTCTCCAGCATGGGCCCCCTCCCTGGAGGCAGAGCCCAGCCCACCTTGGTAGGTCTTGGTAGAAGGCTTCCAGTTCTCATTGCTGATGATGGGCAGGCACACCTGGCCATCAACATCCACGTTGGGGTGGTAGATCTTGGTTGTGAACGTCACCGTGGGGGGTCTCATTGGATATTCCTCAGGGAAGTTGATGCGCAGGTTGAAGGCCCGGAGGTTGTAGGGCGGCTTCTCCTGTGTGAGAAAAGGAGTGAAGCTCTGTTCTGAGGCAGGGGAGCTCTGAAAGGATTCTTTTCATCCTCGGGCCTTGGTCTGGTTTCCCCCTTCCTTGCCCCCACCCCAAGGTCCAAGGCAGCCTCTACTCCACTCCCAGAATCATGAATGGGGACAGATGGCACCTGCATTCATTTGGCAACTGAGCCCTGGGTTAGTGGAATCACAAAAGAACTCTGACCTGGGGGTGGTCACAAGCTGGATCCTACTTTTGCTGGGTGGCCCAGGCCAGCGCCTCTCATCTCTAGGCCTCAGTTTCCTCATTTGAAAAGTGGGTAAAGTTTGACTAACTGAGCTCTAAGAACCATCTCATCTTTTTGTGTGTTTTTTTTGTAGATAATTAACCGTTCCCCAGATTTATTGAGAAATAATTGGCACACACCATTATATAAGTTTGAGGTGTATAGCCTGAAGATTAGATTTACATATGTTGTGAAATAATTACCATAACAGTACCAGCTAACGCTTATCTTCTCATATAGATACAAGAAAAAGAAAAGAGAAAAGAAAAAACTGTTTCTCCTTGTGATGAGAACTGTTAGGATCTTTTTTTTTTTTTAATAAATTTTTATTGATT